TTACTCTAACCGATGTACAAGCTATGCTCAAGCAAGAGCGCAACAAGAAACAACTACCATCTTTCCTCGACCTAGATATGAAACCCTCATACTCTTGGCAGATATTGACCATGCCATACCCAACTGGGTATACAGTACCCAAGTTTATTAAGTTTCATGGAAAACAAGGCAATGCCAGAGAACACGTGGTGAGGTTCATTGAAACTCTTGGTGTCTATGGCAGTGACTCTCGCCTTCGAGAGTTCTCCAAATCACTTACCGAAAGGGCTTACAGCTAATATGTGAACTTGGCTCCCAACCCGATCAAGAGTTGGGAGAAGATGGTGAACAAGTTCCACATGAAGTTCTTCCAAGTCCAAAAGAAAGTTACAACCCTCACACTTGGGCGGGATGTCCAAAAAGAAGGCAAAGATATACTGGACTATGTTAAGCGATTCCAAGATAAGGCTATTGACTATCATGAACCAGTAGATAAGGTCCATTTAGTCAGCATATGTGTGCAGGGTGCCATATGCGATTACAAAATTTTCTTGGTGAACCACAATTTGCCTACCTTTTTAACCTTGGTTGAGGTAGCTAGGAACCTCAATACCACTGGCCATCTACATAGATCTCACGACAGTCACTGCTACTCCTACAGTAGCAGAGTTGTCGCGGTAACCTCTACAGGAGGGAGCTGCTCGCATGGGAAGGCGTCATCCTCTCGGAAGAGGAAGAGTTATGAGGACAGAAATCCATACCTTTGCAGCCTTGAGAATATTTAAAGCTTTGGTTAAAGAATGGGTAGCTGATGGTGAACTTACTTTGCCTACGGTTGATGTCCTCCCAACCAAGAAAAACCAAGAAAGCCCAGATTATTGTGTCTATCACAGAACCACCAGATACCCTACTGGGGACTGTTGGACTTTGAAAAGTATCTTCAAGAAGAAAGTTGACGTGAATGAGCTAAAGTTTAAAGATGCTGGTAACCGTGATGTAAGGAAGGACCCTTATCTTAACCACAAGGAAAAGGGGAAGAATGTACACATGATTGGGTACCTTGGGCCCGTGCGCGATCAAGTGCACATGGCATTCTACTATGATGAGTTAGAAGAAATTGCTAGCGGCCAGCTCCCTAAGACAGTACCTGCAGAGGCAAAATTTGCAGAGGATGCTCATGCTCAGGCCTTGCAAAACTCTGTTAACCTTCTTTGACCAGCTGGGGCTGAGCCAACATTTCCGAAGTGCACCATGCCGAAGTTGTTAAGGCTAAGGAGTATGTGCCTCGGCATATCCAGGATGATTATGGGGCCATTACTTTTTCAAAGGCAGACAAAGCATACCCATTTCCTCATAACCGTCCTCTTTTTGTCACAGCTTACATCAATGATGTAGAGTTCAAGTGTGCTTTCCTTCATGGTGGGGTGTCCATAAACATCATCACTACTAACACCTTTACAAAGGCTGGTATCCCAGAGTACAGGATGGTTTGCCAACCCATCACTGTAGCGGGTTAGAGTGGTGAGAAAAAAGGTTACTAAGGGCCATGTTGTTGTGGACTTAATAGTTTGTGAGACTCGCTCCATAACTAAGTTCCATGTGATTGAAGCAGGCACAAATTACCATCAAAGGCAGACAAAGCATACCCATTTCCTCATAACCGTCCTCTTTTTGTCACAGCTTACATCAATGATGTAGAGTTCAAGTGTGCTTTCCTTCATGGTGGGGTGTCCATAAACATCATCACTACTAACACCTTTACAAAGGCTGGTATCCCAGAGTCCAGGATGGTTTGCCAACCCATCACTGTAGCGGGTTAGAGTGGTGAGAAAAAAGGTTACTAAGGGCCATGTTGTTGTGGACTTAACAGTTTGTGAGATCCGCTCCATAACTAAGTTCCATGTGATTGAAGCAGGCACAAATTACCATATGACACTTGGCAGAGCTTGGATGCACCGATATGGGGCTATCTTGGCAAGTTATCACGAATGCGTGAAGACAAAGTTGGAAAAGCGCACAGTAATCATAAATGAGTCTGAGAAGCTATTCAGAGTGGAAGAGGCACACTATTCGCATGCAGTTTTCTTTACTGAGTTGTCAATGGATGAAACTCCAAGGACTGGTAAAGTTGTAGCGTAAAATTGTTGAGGTGGGAAGACATTCGGGATGCAGAGGCTACTACAGAAAGTAATGGGCAGAAGAGGAGCAGCAAGTCCATAAGTCCTCCGCCCAAGATTGTTAAGGTGTGCGAAGGCGGCAAGACAGTTTACTGCCTTTGACGGTCTTGGGGGCCAGACTTCATACCTTGGGAGGATGGCCCCGAGACAAATAAATGTGACGGTGATAAGTCCCAAGAATGGTTGGTGGAGATGCTTGAGCCTGCCCCTGAATGCATGCAAGATAGACCCGAATCAGCAGGAGGTACTTGCTGAGGTCAACCTCAGCGACGTACCAGGGCAGAGCAAGCCCGTGTTTATCAGCGATACAATGGCTCCAGCAGTTAAGGCAGAATTGATAACACTATTGAAGCGGTACAGTGACGTCTTTGCTTGGACATACGATGAGATGCCTGGTCTTGACCTATCCCTTGTCACTCATCATCTGGACACTTTCCTCAACTCTAAGGCAATCAAGCAGCATGCTCGAAAGTATCACCCTGATCTTGAAGCAAAGATTAAGGCAAACGTAGAAACGTTGTAGAGGGCCAAGTTCATTGAGCCTATACAGTACCCAACTTGGCTAGCAAATATTGTCCCTATAAATAAGAAGAACGGCCAGATTAGGGTCTGCATAGACTTTCGCGACCTAAATAAGGCTTGCCCAAAAGATGAATTTCCATTGCCCCATGTTGACACACTTGTCGATTCTACTACAGGCCATCAGATGTTCTCTTTCATGGACGGGTTTAGTGGTTATAACCAGAGCAAAATGGCACCAGAAGATGCAAAAAAGACAGCTTTCAGAACGCCCTTGGGAAATTTTTTCTATACGGTGATGCTATTCGGTTTGAAAAATGAGGGGGCAACCTACCAACGGGCTATGACTGTAGTGGTCCATGATATGTTGTATCATGATGTGGAAGTGTATGTGGATGATCTAGTGGTCAAGTCTACTAAGGCAAACCGACACCTCTACGACTTGGAAAAGGTTTTTCAGCGTTGCCGCAAATTCTTCTTAAAGATGAACCCTCTCAAGTGTGCCTTTGGAGTTACCGTGGGCAAGTTCCTTGGCTTTCTGGTACACCAATGGGGAATTGAAGTAGATGGGGAAAAGATCAAGTCAATCATGGAGATGCCACCACCACAGTCTCAAAAGGCCTTAAAGAAATTCCTAGGCAAAGTGTCATATCTCAGGAGGTTCATTCCAGCCCCCTTTGGGACACTGCAGAAAGGGAATCACAAGTTTGAATGGTTACAAGAAAACCAACAGGCATTTGATATGGTGAAGAAAGAACTTACCTCTCCACTTACAATGATTGCCTCACAACCCGTAAAGCCTCTACTACTGTACCTAACCTCTACACCTCAATCTATTGGAGCTCTGCTTGTCCAAGAAATAGATGGCATTGAGAAGCCAGTCTATTACATCAATTGTAAAGTCAATGGTGCCGAGTCGCAATATACCCCAATTGAGAGGCATTGTTTAGCCTTAATCTTCACAGCATAGAAGTTGCACCATTATTTTTTGGCACACCCGATCCAAGTTGTGACCGGAGTGATCCAGTCCGCTACCTACTGAGCAAGCCCGCCCTAACTGGAAGAATGACAAGGTGGCTTTTGGCTCTAGTAGAATACGACATCACTTATGTTACTCCCAAGGCTATTAAGAACCAAGCACTTGCAGACTTACTGGCCCAATTCCCATCTGATGAACATGAACCTACGGAGGTACCTCTACCAGGTGAGGTCCATGTCTTAGCAGCTGCAGTTGAGACTTACTGGGACTTAAAATTTGATGAAGCTTCCGGAGCTGGGAAAAGTGAAGCTGGCATAACACTAACCAGTCAAGAAGGAGAGAAGCTTCATCTATCATATAAGCTTGACTTTGAATGTTCAAACAACAAGGCCGAATATGAGGCGTCGATACTGGGTCTAATTGCTGCTCAAAAGAAAGGCCTCCGCAAGTTGAAGATTCGGGCGACTCCAAGCTAGTTGTCAAGCAAACAATGGGTGATTTCGCCTTGAAAGAGCCTCTGTTGGCCCCATATCACAACTTAGTTCAAAGGTTGCTCACTCAATTTGATGATGTCCAAATCCAGCATACCCCTCGAACACACAACCGTTTCCTCGATGTTTTGGCTACACTGGGGGCAAATGTGGATATACCAGATGATAGTATAGCCATCGTCATCGTTAAAAGAACAACACTAGTAGTGTTAGCTGAAGAACATACAGAGTAAGATGTTGAGGAGGGGAAAACAAATATAATCCAGCAATTGAAAACAGGCTAGGGAACAATCAGACCAGCAGAACTTGCATCATTTATGCTCCTCAAAGGAGAGTTGTATTTTCGTGGTCCCAACAACCTGCTGGTAAGGTGAGTCAACTGACAAGATGCAACTTACAAACTTAAGCAGATCCATGCTAAGTCCTGTGGAGATGTAGATATCAGTCCATACCGACAGATACAGAGGCAAGGGTATTACTGGCCAAAGATGGAAAAGGAAAGCACTGAGTTGCAGCACTAAGTTGCAGAGGCAATGTGCAAAATGTCAGTCTTATCCTAAAGAGGAAGAAGCCCATTTCTTAAGCAGTGAGGAATAGAGGCAGCCGTATATTAACTATCTTGGAAATGGCACACTGCCTGAGAACAAAGCTGATGCAATTAGAGTTAAAAGGTTGGCCCTTCGCTTTTTCCTTGACCAAGGCAAGCTGTACTGCAGAAGCTTTGAAGGGGAACCTTTGGCGTGTTTATCAAAAGATTAGGCAAACAAAGTATTGAAGGAAGCCCACAAGGCAGAACATCAAGGAGCGCGGCAATGGTATGGGCACCTTATTCACCTTGGATACTACTGGCCGACAATGGAACAAGAAGATAAAAACTTTGTAAGGAGATGCCAATACTGCCAGAAGTTTGGGAACTTGATACATGCACCGGCAGTTGAACTGCACAATATCAAGACCCCTTACCTATTTCATACTTGGGCATTTGACCTGGTAAGTCCTATAGCTCAGCAATCCAAAGGCCACAGATGGATATTTATAGCGACTGAAGTTAGTACCAAGTGGGTAAAGACTATACCAATGAAGAAGGCAGATGGGGCAGGAGTGGCCAACTTCATCAAAGAAAACATAATCTGTAGGTTTGGCATACCCAAGGTGATGTTGTCTGACAATGGGACCCCTTTTGTGAACCGCCATGTGGGAAGATTATTGGACACTTATCTGATCAAGCACCACAAGTCGACCACGTACTACCTGTAAGGGAACGGACAAGTTGAGGCAACCACCAAAACCTCATCCAGATACTGAGTAAAATGATGGATGAAGCAAGGGGCGCATGGTCCAAACAGCTCCTCGTAGCACTCTGGGCATATAGAACGTCAAAGAGGAAGCCAACTCAGGCAAACCTATTTTCCCTAGTATATGGGTCCGAGGCTGTGTTGCCAGTCGAGTTGGCAGTACCCTCAGTAAGAATGGCTATGTTAGCACACTTAGTTCCAGACAGCAGGAAGAATGACATAGAAGCAGTTGAAGAAAGAAGAGATCGGGCCTCGTGGGCAATGGAAAAGTATCATCAATCCATAGCTCACACCTATAATCCAGATGGATATTTATAGCGACTGAAGTTAGTACCAAGTGGGTAAAGACTATACCAATGAAGAAGGCAGATGGGGCAGGAGTGGCCAACTTCATCAAAGAAAACATAATCTGTAGGTTTGGCATAACCAAGGTGATGTTGTCTGACAATGGGACCCCTTTTGTGAACCGCCATGTGGGAAGATTATTGGACACTTATCTGATCAAGCACCACAAGTCGACCACGTACTACCTATAAGGGAACGGACAAGTTGAGGCAACCACCAAAACCTCATCCAGATACTGAGTAAAATGATGGATGAAGCAAGGGGCGCATGGTCCAAACAGCTCCTCGTAGCACTCTGGGCATATAGAACGTCAAAGAGGAAGCCAACTCAGGCAAACCTATTTTCCCTAGTATATGGGTCCGAGGCTGTGTTGCCAGTCGAGTTGGCAGTACCCTCAGTAAGAATGGCTATGTTAGCACACTTAGTTCCAGACAGCAGGAAGAATGACATAGAGGCAGTTGAAGAAAGAAGAGATCGGGCCTCGTGGGCAATGGAAAAGTATCATCAATCCATAGCTCACACCTACAATCAGTCTGTTCAACATAGAAAGTTCAATGAGGGGGACTTGGTATGGAAAACATTGGATACAATCATACGGGGGCAACCAATCCCCAAGTTCTCACTAAGATGGGAAGGCCCCTACAAAGTTACTGAGGCAAGCAGTAACGGGTATTACAAGTTGACAAGAGTAGATGATGGGTTCAAAACTGGCCCTATCAACGCTAAGTATGTAAAGGAGTACTTTCCCTAATTTCTTTTGTTCAGAAAAAGAGAGTTGTAAGTTTCTTTGTTAATACTTCCAAAGCAAAGTGTAAAGAAAGTGTCATACACTTAGTAAACCTGTTATTCTTGTAAACACTTAGTGCAAGGAAAGTTTTCCATACTTAGTGAAATTTTAGCCTTGCAAAAGCTTAGTCGGGATAAAGTTCTATTCATGGAACCAGTTTTGCTTCTCTTTAGAAGTTATGTAAAAGACAGTGAAAGGAAGGCAGTAAAGTAAAGCTCAATATCTTTACTTCTCATAAACATCAAACTTCTCCATAGCATGACTACAGTGTTCAAAAGGAAAAGAAGAAAGAAAAAAGATACCACAAAGAAAAAGAGCCATAACAAAGCCACAATGCATCAAATCAAGCCCTTCATGAAGGAGTCCATCAGGGTCACATCTTGAGGCAACTGAGCAACCAGCGCAGAGTCCTTTTCTTTGAACCGAGCTAGGTTCTACTGGTGTTGCTCTAAGGCACCCTTACACTCCTTGATAGTCTCCTCCAAGGATGCGATCATCGCGACATTATCTGCGTGTTCAAGAAAGCCATCAACTGGCTGAAGCCTATCTCTCATCCACGATAGGTCCAAACCGTTCCTCTCAAAGCCGCTCAGGTTAGCCTCAGCACCTTCAATGAACTTGCTGGGGGTTGTCAGAATCTTCTTAGCAACCAGGTCACGAATGAAGCTGGCAAGTGACTCCAGTAGTGCTACTTGCACCATAGATCCAGGAATGTTAAAAGCAGTAAAGGTACCGGGGTGCAGTGCTTGGATGCAGGCAAAAGTAAGGGCCTCTTCGGAGGAGACCCAATAACTTAGAAAAGAAACTTTCCCTAAGGACTGAGGGGACTCTTTCACACCGCCGCCGGCTTCAATTACTGGAGGTAGACTGGCAGAGTGACCAAAGGTTTGAGGGCGACATGCCTCCCCTGAAGATGATTTCCCAGTAGCATTGAAATGGGTAGATGCTGGATGCCAATCGGGCGAACTGGCCTCGCGAGAAAGGCTAAAGCTGCCTGCACCATCATGTCGCTCCGAAAAAAGGTCTTCTATTTGGTAGTCTCCAACGTTCAAATCTGGTATAGCAGTAGTATCCATCCCAGTATAAAAATCTTGGGATACCCCAAGGTCAGTTGGCACTTTGGGAAAGTGAGTGGAGTACAGGTTCGCGAGCTACTCAGAGGTTACCGAAGCAACTGGGTCAGAGGTCCCAGCTACAACAGTAACAGCATGAGTGGCTACGGTGATAGTTACCTTTGTAAGTCGGTCCAAATTTAGAGGGACCACAACAGGAACAGTGGAAGCAGCCGCTACACTTACATTCCTCTCAGCCACTTGGACGTTTGGAAGTGCGGTCTGTTAAACCAATGGGGACTCAATGGATTAGGAAGAACCACCAGATACAGCTTCAAAGGGAGGTGGTATAACTTCTAGCAGCTCTCTTACGCCGCGATCTTCCCTTGGAGTCTCAGGGACAAAATCCTTCCCACCGACAGAGGAATGGTCAAAGTGGGCAGAGTCAACAGGGTTTGGGGGCTCTACACCCTTTGCAACTCCCACAGCAGGGGAAACTTGTCCACTTTTGACAAAGGGGGCATCATGATCTCTTTCCATATCTATAATCTCAGTCTCACTAACCAACTCAGCCTCCGCAACAGGCTCAGCCACTACAACCAGTTCGGCCTCAGCACTTGGTTCCTCTTCGGCATCAAGAAGTACCACTCTACGAGTTCTGAGCCAAATGACCCTTGAAGCAATGGGAAGGTTATTGTCGTCATCTGAATCTGAGGAAATGCTGATAGTAGTGGAAGGACATCTGGGACCTGAAGGCGGTATAGCTGAAGCGGTACTACGCTCTGAGACCAATAAACCCTGACAAGGAAAAAGATCCTGTGATTACTAAGGTAAATGTAAAAATCCCAAGGAAGTAATGCAAAAATATTTTCTAAGTATGGGTACCTTTCGGAGTCTCTTCCTACTTGGTGAGGCACGTGCCTTAGCAATTGATGCTACTGCCTCCTGGATTGCTCTCAGTCTGGAGCGGGCCATGCATACTGTTGTGTCAACTTGAGGAGGATCAATTTGCAAAGGTTGAATGGACATTGCCCCAGACGAGTGAGGCTCTTCCACAGCAGGCAAGGATAGAAGCTTGAAACAGCAAAACACATTGATTTGTTTTCCACGGCCAGAAGAAAGACGAAGGGATAAGCCGGGTTGCGGAATAGGTTTCGCCGCAGGGACGACCGGATCGCCATTGCAAAAGTTGAAGAAAGAACAGAGGTTGTGGTGCCAGCACAACCTATTACCAGGAATGAAGACGCCCTTCCATGAATCCTAAGCCCCCCACAAGTAGAGCTGTGTAATCACGGGAAAACTACTGAGAGCTCTGGTGGAAATTAGTCTGAGGCGGAGGGACATGTGGGACGCCCTGATCCATGCTGAACTGCCTAAGGACCCTATCCGGTCAATAGACAACGCTGGACATGCCCTCCTCATTCCATTCGGGTAAAAATCCAGGGCGTATCATAGCAGTAATAAGAAGAGAGTTGGTGTAGACACCCCATTTTTGACCGACCTTAAGACTCAGACGTCACCAGTTGAGCGCTCGGTGATATTGCATATTGTGCTCGTTCTGAGGTTTCAGAGTCTCGGCTGCGAACCTTGCCTTCGGACTTCCGGACTCTTTCGTGTCTTGCCTCGGTTTACGAACCAGGCTCTATTTTCTCTTCCTGAAGGGAGAGAGAGGTCTCGTAGATCATCTTTCAGTGGCCGTAGGCTACGTTTCGTGGTCGTAGGCCATTTTTCCCGTTTGGAGCCCGGTTTCCGGTTTTTCGGCGTCGTTGGCCGTGTGCCTCGGTTCGGGACTGCCTAACCACCTCCGTTTGCTCCGGTTTTTGGTATGAAACTTATTTCCTCCATTTTGAGGGACACTGTGGCCCGAGGAACCAACTTCGTGGTCGAACGCCACCTCCGGTGCTTAACAGCCCATTTTCGGGGCCCCAGGCCGCGCGTTTCGGTCCCCCGAACCTCCGTTTTGCATCCGTTTTGTTTCATTTTTGGTGGAGACCTTACTCTCACGGTTAAGAAGCTTGTAGGAGGATGGGAGCCCAGTAATTGTTTTGAAAAGCCAGCTTTATTTCTTCATCGCTCTCCGTCGCCCGTTTTTCCTCACTTGAAAGCCAATGTTGACCATCCTTGGGCCACTTTCTTTGACCCTAAGCCCCATATTTGTGTTATACACACCTGGGAGGCCACCAATATTAGGTGGCCGACCAGCAATTGCACCTGAACCTTTTGAACCCCTCTGAAAAATGGGTTTTTCTCTCTCCTGGTTCACATTCTCCGGGTGTCAACCACATATTTGTGTTGTGCACACATGGGAGGCCACCAATTTGGGGTGGCCGGCCAGCAATCTTCATTGACCCTTTTGAACCCTGGCCGGCCGGCCACCTGAACCTTCTGAACCTGGTCGGCCTGAACCCCCTCTCCAAGTGTGCTCCAGCTGTGTATTTTGTTTCCCCCAGATTTTGTATCCGATGGGGGGTCTTTTGGGGGGGAAGTTTGAATTTGATTTTCCCCCCCTTTTTCTTCACCTCTCCTGTATAAAACCAGCACCCTTAGTTGCATTTTAGAGGGTTACAAAAATTGGTTTTGAGCCCTTGCATTAAATCTCCCTCTCACTCTATTCCAACCCTCAAGATACCCTTGATTCTTGGCCATTTCTGCACCAACTCCTAGCCTATCAATCCACACTCCATTCCTGCAACTTGGAGGCTGTTTTTCAGAGCTTAGGAGCACCATTTCTTGGACCAAAAGCTGCTGAAAGTTTGGACTACAAGGGTAAGCCTCTTT